CTAACATTTCTCATGACATCCTTCCTACAGTACAACATACAAAGCTTCAGGCCCATTCTCTTGATTTTTTCATAAATTCCAACCGAACTGATTTCGCCATCTTGAGTGAAATCTTTCTGTCCGATGAGAACATTTCCGATCTCAAAATCTCAAATTACAACTCCGCTTATAAATGTAGAAGTGACGGCTATGGAGGTGTTGCCATCCTTGCCAGAAAAGGCATATCCTTCAAACAAATCCCATTTAAATCGACTGCTGACATTGTCATTATCAAAACCTCTTGTCTAAAACCTAATATTGTCATTGCTGCTTGCTATTTCAAGCCCAACATCCCCATTCAATCTTTCCGGGATGATTTTAATCGTCTCTGTGATATGCTCAATAGTTTCCACAATGTCATAATTGCAGAAGATTTCAATGCAAGACACCCTTGCTTTGGTGACTCCGTGTCAAACAATAAAGGCAACGCCTTGCAAGAAATCATTAAAGCTAGTAACTTCTATTGTGTGAATGATAATTCACCTACCTATTTTCACTCTACGACCAACAATTGTGGTAGCGTGTTGGATCTTACTTTCACTAACGCAACCCATCTCACATTCAAATGGGAGGTTAAAAAAGAAATTTTCCTGGGAAACAGCCACCACCTTCCTATTCTCTTTAATACCACCTCTATTACCTCGTAGAAGATAAATGACTTTATCTCGAGGAAAAAACTTCTAAATAATCTCATTCACGTATGTCTTGAGCCACAGGTCGAGTCTATCCAGTGCTCATTTCAACAAGAAACAATTAACGCCAAATCCGACATCCAAATCTTGAATTCCTACTCACCAAAACCTTGGTGGAACGAGCTGCTCACTTCACCATTCCGTAGATTACAGGCTGCTAAACAAAAATTTTCCAAATACCCCAATATTTCTAATTTTGAAGATTTCAAGTTATCACAAAAAGAATGGAAGAAATCGATTAGAAAAGCCAAAAGATGCCATCGAGCCCTTGTTATCGAAGAGCTATGCTCAAATAGCAATACAAAGCAATTCTGGAAATTTTTAAATGGTCATCGCACCACAAAAAAGAAATACAAACACCCCATTTGGGATGATCTCAACAACAAATCCTACCTTGAATGGCTGAAAGCTCAAGTTCCCTCGACATGTGGTCTCCAAACCTCCTTACTTAATTCTCGAATGGAAAACATCTATCCATTCTCCCTTGATGAACTCATGCACGTCCTTAAGTCGAAAAAGAAGTCCACAGCAACAGGCCATGACGGAATCAAATATGAAATGATAAATGTCCTTCCCATGCCAAGCTTTCTAACCCTGCTATCTGCTATAAATGAGCGCTGGATGACCAACTCGTTTCCCACTGTTTGGCGTACAATTAAAATAGTGCCCATTCCTAAACCCGGAAAAGATCTTGAAACATTCACTAACTTCAGACCCATATCCCTCTTGCCTGTTCTTCTAAAAATTACCAACCAAATGATTAAAGAAAGACTAACAAATTTCCTGAATCACTCACACCTTCTCCCGTCAAAGTCCTTTGCTTAAAAAATATCTCCACCGGTATATGCCTTAATGAAGTCCTTTTCACAATTGCAAATGAAAAAGCAAATGGAAACCAGGTAGTCATGCTTTGCTTAGACATTAATAAAGCTTACGACTGTGTAAACTTAGCGAAACTGGACCAAATTCTATCTGATTTTAAAATCCCGACACAAAGTAGGCATTGGGTTCTCAACTTTCTTTCCTCGAGAACTCTCGTATTAGATTCATATGCAGTCGAAGTTTGTGGAGGCTTACCTCAACGTAGCTGTCTCAGCCCAGTTCTCTTCAATTTATACACAGCCGGTTTACATCAATTACAGGACAAATCTACCCATTTATTTCAATATGCCGACGATTTCCTCATCATCTCTGCTGGAAAATCATTAATGGAAGCAGTCCGTAACCTCGACACTAAAGCCAACTTTTTCACAAACTTTGTGCAGACTTAAATCTAACTTTCAACCCGGAAAAATCAAAAGTCATTCGCTTTGCTAAGGGTCCCAAAAAAAATTTTTTACATTGCAATCAATGGTATAAAAATCAGTCCGTCTTCCTCTTTTAAGTTTTTGGGCAGAATAATCAACTCAAGTTTAATCACGCATGAGCATTACAAGGATAGCCTCGAAAATTGCAACACAGGCTCAAATGTCATCAAACTTCTGACCAACATTCACACCGGACTCCCACCTAGGAGAGCATTAAACGTTTACAAATCTATTGTTAGATCCAAAATTGAATATCCCTACTCTACATCGTGTAACGCTCCTGCGTATACATTAAAAAAAATACAAACCTTTCAACGCTCAATCCTAAGACGTTGTACCGGCTTGTCCCCCTCAACACCAACATCAATTTTACGTTCCATCTCTTATGAACTCCCCGTTGCTAAGAGAATTTATCTTGTAACTGCAAAAGAACTTCTCAAGGTAAAAATCTTCAAACCTGCCTTCTTTGACGAGGTCGCTTCCAGACACAATCATGTCATCAGTAGTTACTCTAACTGCTTCAAAAAATTCAGTAACATCTTCAATAAAGTTAACTCAATACCCTCCTGGAACAATATTATTCATGATAAATGCGTAGTTGAATTGAACTTATTTAATTCGATCACCAACTCAAAAAAAATCGATCAGGGTCTTGTCTTCGAATCGCTTGTCTGCAAAAACTTAACCACTTCGTCGAAAATAAGTTCAAAATATACGCAACGGATGGATCTATCAATTCGGACATCTCTAGTTTTTCAATTATCGAATACCCAAACTTACTTATAGGAAAATTCAAAGTTCTACAAGAACTATCATCCACTTTCATTGAACTTCTGGCCATCAGACAAGCAATCATCCATGCATCTGAAATTAAGCTAAAAAAATTTGTAGTTTTCTCTGACAGCAAATCTGCTTTAATTTTAATCAAGAACAAAGACCCATTCAATAAGTATGTCTTCGATATCTACAACCTTTTAAAAGACCCAAGTATTGAAAAATGCCACATCATCTGGATCCCAGGTCAATGCGGTTTTAGTATTAATGAAAAAGCTGACTTCCATGCTCGTCAAGCTAGGTTCGATGGTACAGTTTTGTCCATAAACTACCCCCCCAGCGAAGCTTTTCTGCTAGTCAAAAAACTCATCATAAAAGAATGGAAAGATGAATATCATGTTTTAGCTAGAGAAAAAAGTGACCGGCTGTTCTACAAAATTTACCTTTTTTTGACACCCACGCTTCTACCTAAAGGAAAATTTACAACATAGGAATTTAAAGTTCTTCACCGTCTTATGAGTAATCACACCTACGACAAGGTCTATTTTAAAATGATCAAAGTCTCCTCCTCTGACATCTGTGAGGATTGCAATATTACTGAGTCTGCCGAGCACCTTATTTTTGAGTGCAGGAGGTTTGAAATCCTTAGACAATCTTTCAGTATATTTAACCTGTATAACAATTTATATGAAATTTTTCGTGCTGGTAACTTTAGCATTTGAAGCAACTGACTGCATTTATCAAATCAGCTGAGTTTTCATTCTAATTTTACATTTAGTATTTCTATTACAATCACGAATCGCCTACACTTTTTCTTTTATCGGCATTATTAGCCGGATCTTGACAGTACAGTACCAAACACGGTGATTTATGGATTGACAGCGGAACAGAGCCTCTCATTGCGAACACTCTGCCACATCAGTCTACCTATGCTTAAATTTTTTCATCAATCGCTCTCAACTTCGTTTCTGGATTATGGATCTAACATTAACTTAACTGGTCCAATCCATTTCTAAACAAACAAAAAAAAAAAAAAAAGTTATCTGAACAGATATATATATATATATACATATGCGAATGTAAATATATCAATTATATATATTGATATATACATTTTTGTTCACAATAGTTACATGTACATGGTTTGAGAAAACCCACATTCCGCCCGCGATGTATTTAGACACGGCTTTGGAGTTGTTGGGTTCTAGGAGTTACCAATGTCTGGCCGGTAGTGATTTTTATTTTTATTGTTGTACTTTATGTGTATTTGCAAATTATTGCTCCCATAATTAGCTAAACCAAACATAGTAGCGACTTAAGCAGAACTTAACAATTTTTGCTACTGAACCAGAACAAGACAATTGGTTAAACTGTAGGAACACATCGCAAAATATTGTTGAAAATCTCGCATTTGGAGCCCTTTCGATCCATTAGATAAAATCTTCGCTTAATTTGCAATCATTATTAGATTTTCAGTCAGCAAATTTTTAAATATGGCCACCGGAACATAAGCAAACAATCAAAAATTTGGCAATGGTTGCAGCGTCGAGCTAAACGCACGCAAACAAAAAAAAGCGTAGATCTATTGATTTAAGAAATAGTACAATTGTCAGCTTCGCCAATTCAAAAAATTCATTAAAAACTAAATTACATCATTCTTCACCCTTACAACGAGATTCGGTTATTCAAACGGGTATCGGGTTTACATCGAGAAATGCCCATTTCCTTCTCAGCAAATTTTCGAATCTCTTTAATGATTAGTTGTTCAGGGACCCTGTTTAGCTAAAATCCAGTCACTAATTCATCAATAGTTGATTTGTTTGTTACTTTATCAAAGAATAAATATAAACGAAAATTTGCATATTTTTTTCTCTTTTCATTTATATATCAAATATAGCAACGATAACGACATGAAAATCTTACGTGCTCACAACAAAAGCGTTTATCAACTATTGACTTGGACGCAAAAAAAAAGATAACTATCACAGTATTAGATTATTTGCGGCTTACACCGGAATCTTCTCTTTTTTTTAAGCTAGTCGTCAGAAAGTATAAATGTTCACAGCTAAGTTATGAAAACACTTCTTCGCCTACTCTTTCATAAGACGCCTAAATACGCACACTTGCACTTCATCTCATCTTACACTTGAAGTAATATTTCGTTTTTCCCGCTCTGCAATGTTGTTTGATTGGCCTGTATTTTGTATAATAGCTGAATCATTGCAGTTGAATTTGCTATTTCTGTCCAATTTTTCCCCACTTCTTAACTTTCTTACCTTCTAATCACTTTTCTAACACCTCGCGAAACTTTTTTGGTTTTCTGAATATTTTGTGACATTTCAAGGAAAAGTATTTGAATGTAAAATTAATAGAAGAACTCAATGAAAAATTATTATTTAAAGGTACGAAAACGAGTACAAAAATTAAGTACCACTAACTGAAGACGCTTTTTTTCGAACCTTCAAGCGATGTGTTTTCGCTGTATGTACACTTTTTCGCCTTTTTTTTTTAAGATTGATTGCGGTATATTTCACATTTAAGGCTGTCTTAAGTCAAAACAAGCTTCAATCGGTATTTAATATTATCTTTTCTTTCTTAAGAAATGTACTTTTTGATCCTTAACCCACAAATGTAGTTTTTAATTAGGGAAATCTTAATTTTTCCTACCTTTTATTAGACCACAATATGTGGCGCTTTTTTTATTACGATTTGATATTTTAGATTTCTTCCGCTGGTTCTAATCCCAAAATATATGAACATTCTTTTAGTATCAATGCAGTACCTTCGCTTAATAAAATACGGCTACATTTCACCTTGATTATTACACCATATTCGTTCTTCGCAATGCAATGGCAATCGTCGTAGAATTCTGATAATGTCGTACAAACTTTGTAACAATATTCGTATAATAAATGTAACAATAGGCCTTTCGAGATTTTCAACAAAGTCTTAATCTCTTGAAGTCTTAATAAAGTCTTCGCCAGTTTTGATTCTATTTCATAGCCCAATTTAATTTTAACCGTCTCGAGCACGTTATTGAGTTGGGAGAAATCTTTACCGCCATTACGTGTAATAGAGCACAGGCAACTGCAAGCATATAACAGGTAAACGGCTATATTGCCGCGATCTTCCAACATTTTATCAAAGGAGAATACATAATCGTTGAGGAGAGTATGACTTAAATCGGCACATTTAATGCAACCATAAGCCATCGATTCTTGGGCAGCTCTTAGTTCTTCGGGTGTCAAAACTTTGTCGCGTTCCTTTTCCATGAGCTCAGCTAAGGACCGTTTCAATCCTTCGTCAAGTAAATCTGTTAACTCTATCGTATCGCCGGATCTAGTTTTAAGCTTTCTACCAACTTCGGCCTTCATCTAGATCCAAGAAATTTTTCTGTTCCAAAAATTTTACAATTTCAACCATACAGAATTGATAGAACGACTCACCTTTTCCATAAAGTTTTACATCCAACCGTTCGTAAATTTTTTTGGAATTCTTTTCGACAAAGATCGAAGATGAATTTTCAAGCCTTAGTAGAATTTGTCTCCCCATTCTGTAGCTCCACGACTCGATTATAAGCATGCTTTTTAAATTCTTAATCTTTGTCGAATCTAAAAAAATTTCCGAAAACGTTCTTACGGAAAATTTTCGAAAGATGATACAAACGAGCCCCTCGTTTCTTGGATGCTTTGTAAAACGCCTGCAAATACACTATGGCTGGACTTTCATTCAGCAAATTAGGAAATCGTTCTTCTAGATGAGTAATGAACATTCCCAACTGAGTTCGCCAGTCTTCTAAGTGATTGATCCGCAAACCATCATGGCCAAAAAATCCCAACTAACTTCAAATTGATTCACCAATTATGGTAGATTTGCAATGTTTCACATGCATATGTTTGGCGATGTTCGGAGGAAAAAACTCTACTAAGTCTAATGGTGGCGCTTTACTTGAGGCGGTTTAAAACCTATCCATACGGTATTGTCAAAGCACTAACAACAAAAGATCTAAAAGCAATTTAAAATTTATACGAGTTTCAAGTACTTTTTTAAGAAAGCATTTATAAGACCAGCACCGGCAGTTTCTAGCTTATTAATCAATAGGCTGGAGGTGGTATCGTTTATAATCTCTTGTACTATATCGCACGGAGATTTGATAGATCCTGGATCAACTTTGAAAGTTGTGGATGATGACATAGCACTATTACACTAATGACAGAACTTTGCGGCATTTGAGCTAACGGGCGTTATAACAGCTGTAGTAGCAACCAAATGCGGAAAGCTGAAGCAATAGCATTCGTAAACAAATAAATTAAATGATCGCTAATAGAAATTCATCTATTTTCGTAGGTATGGCAACAGCACTAAACGAAGATGTAGAATCAGTTAAGAAGTTAGAAGCAATCGGGGTTATTGCGCATTATTTTTTAGCTTCCAAAGTTTGAAAGATAACATTTTTTGGACATAATTACAATGATTTGCAACTCAATCACTGACCTTTACGCTTTCTAATAAAGCTAAAATAAAGGCAATAGCTTAAGTTTCATGTTTTCCAGTTGTGGTCTACTGAGTTCTTCATCTTGTTCGCCCAAAATCTCGCTTTCTTTCGTGCGCTCGATTCGTGCATGCTGTTCACTGGTTCCTTTCATTGAATTAATAATAAACTATTGAATGCAATAATCAAATTATAAAATGTGATCTTACCAATTCATGTAAAGCGTTCGCTTCACTCTTTTAACTAACCCTTCTGTTTGTTCGGTGAAGCACGTCCCGTTTTTTTCAACTTTTAGCCAAACAGTTTAGTTAGTTGGCATATATTTGTCACGCAAATAGTTGTATGAAAAACACATCTTCGGTTTTTCTCCTTCAATTCAGCAAATGAACCCCGGATGTTATCACATATGAAAAACATCAGCTGCGTGATAGATAGTAAGCAGTGCATGACATTAACTAGGTTTCGCGTTCGAGTTCGATTTTTTAGCTTTATGTATTCACAAGAGATGCTTGAGCCGGACTCAAAATTGTCAAAACTAATGTAACCAAAATTGCTGACACTTTCCGTTAGGATTGTTTTTTAGAGCTTCATTTATGAGAGAAAAAAAGTTTGTAAGTGGAAAATAAATTAATTTACTAGCAAAATTGTGTGATAAAAACTTACAATTTGTGAAAGGCAAGTAAATTATTTATTTATTCATAGTACAATATGGAATTTACAAGCCCTACAATGGCCAATTTAAGTGCATTGTATTAAAGAATGATGTACACAATAAGAATGAATAAGTATCAGTCGCGTTTATAAAATCAAATTCAACCATAGATGGTTAATCCAATTTTTTAAATAATAGTAGAGCATCGTCGACATTGCCGGAAAAGGTATCTTATAAGACGTAGAAAGGCTCTTCTTACCTTTCACAAAAATATGTATGAAAACGATTTTATACATTTTTCAACAACGTCAATTACAATCTACGTACACGTATTATTATGTATAGATTGCTGCAGAAGTCTCACTTTATTTCATTTAATTAAAAATTTTACAAAATTGTTTTTATTAACCTTTGCATGATTTATCAATTGATTATATTGTAAGTCAATGTACGCCTTTCAAATAATATCTAGTTAACTAGAAGATACGTAATTAGTGCTATGAGTAAAAAAAGATTGCCGATGTTTGTTCTTATTTAAAGAAAGCAATGACCAAAAAAACGATTGGGTACTGGGTATCTGAAAACTGGTCATTATTTTTCGGATTTTTGTTACACACCTGAAGCTGAATTCAGCATTGTACTGATGACTTTGATTTTCTTTCTTCACGTATGCACAACAGCTATTACTGACACCAGTACTCATAAGACTCAATAAATGAAATTTATACGTCAAATTAGGCGAAAGCCAAACCACTCGAGTTACCACGAAAATTTCTTTTAAGAAAAACATATGCAAAACAAAAACATATCATAACATTCGTTTTTTATTATTTACGTAATTCGTAAACTTCAATAAATTGATAAATTTGGAACGAAGTTATAAAACAAGGTCTTGACGTTTTTTTAAACTGTTCTTATGATGAGTCTTGATTCTTGCTGTATACTAGAAAATTCCCACTAAGTTTTTGTTATTTACTTTTGGTTTTTAAATGCTGGTAATTTAAGCTAACTATTACTTACGATTTCAGCCAATTTTTGTAAATCCCCAGATGCCAAATTTACGTTTGTTTTATTGTGGTGACTGATAAAACGTTATGATCATATGCAATTTAAGTAAAGTTTAACAGTTGTTCTTGTTGAACTAAAGCAACTATGAAGTTGCTAAGCCAAACTTTTCAAAAGGAACAACTGTTTTTAAAACGGTAAGTTCATCTTCCGAAGACATAAGTTAATATATAGATGTTCTTGTTATGCCTTATTTACGCTTTATGCCAAGCCAACGAGACCTAGGTTCACTACAATGTTGTTTCCACAAAATCTTTTTTGTCTCCTAAGAGGGAAGAGGGCTGAAACACAGCCGGTAAAAACACCATTTCGTACAACCCATTGCACAGCACTCACAGCACACTCGTGTTCACATTGAAACTTTTTTGCAGAACAGAGCGAATCATCTGCTCTTGATTTGCAGAGTTACAGAAAATGAAGACGTTAACATTTTTTTTTTTTTTCATCTTATTGGTGTTTTGGTTAGCGTACAGTTGTGACCTTTGACCGTGGCTACGGATACTGTTTTAATCGTTTCTTTATAAGTTATACTTTCAATTATATTTAATTTTATGTAAAACTTGAGGAAGTGCCAGCCTTATTACCCTAAAATTTCGAAATCTTAAAGCGCTTTACATTCTATTCAGTCTGAGCAAGAAGTCGGCTATTTACTTATTGAATATTCTTTTTCTCTTTTTTATTCAGCATGAAAGACAGTAACGGAAGCGATGACGAGGGTCATATGCAATACAAAGAAAAAGAATTTTACCAACTTTTGTTGTCGACGGGAAAGACAGTTGAACAAAACATACGTAAAAAATACCCTGCAAATAAGTACAAATTTTTGTAGATATTTATAAAAATTTTTATGTTTCGACTTAAATATACATTACTATATATGCATTATTCGTTCTTCTTGCGTGTACACAAAAATACTTTTTTAAAATTGATTTAAGGATATCAGCCGGATTTACCATAAAATATATTTAAAAATATTTAGCATTTCCATAAATTCCTCACTTGCTTTTTAATACTATATTAGGAAAGTGTAAGTCGAATGGGTGTTTGTTTTCAAAATTACACCTAAAAAGCATCCTGTTCACATTCAATGTAGAAACAGCAGTTGACTTATGTATTATGAGTTTCTTGGTATTCCCAAGCCCCTCTCTCGTATTGCTTCAGAAATAGACTCATGATAAATGTCTGGATTGAAAGCAATTATGCGTGGCCTGCGGGCAGAGGGAGCCTGTAAGCTAGGATCTATGCCAAAATCGTTGGCACTATCCAATTCGCGACGTCTTCTTTGTAAACCATGTTGTTGTATGGCTGCATCAATAGCATAATTTCGTAAACGTAATCCTTCTAAACGGCCAGCTTCATAGTGTCTATTAATGAAATTATCGCATTCACACTCAAAAACAGCATTATGCTGCCATAATATTAGTTGCTCATCAGTCATTTGGACTGAAAAAGTTACACAAAAAAATTTTTTTATCTCATTTGAAGGGAAATCGGCGGTAAAAGTAACTCACAATTCGAATCTGGTAACAAAGCAAACAAAAAATCCATATTCAATCCTTTATAATGGGTATTACTAACGTTTAAAATTTTTTATTATTTTCTGCATGGACATTGACTTTTACATTAAGTGAACTCATGTTTATTGGTTTTTATTTAATTATCACGAAATTTTCCCAAAACGCACTGACAAGACAGTGTAGTTGTTGCTAATGGTTGCCGTCCATAGGAATAAAAGGCGAGTTATGTAAATTATAATGACGGTATAGCTAATTTTACGAAATCAGCAGCTGAAGTAACCAAATTTTGTAAATACATTTTTTGAAACACATGGCGTTAATCTACTTTTCAAAATCTAGAATCGCCGAAGGTATAGAAGCGGTAGGCTCTGTTGGATATACTTTCCATAACAGCCAATAATTGCATCGATTTAATTATATTCGTGTGCCTGTTTGATTTCAAAAAGTTGTTCAGAAGAAATCGATTTCTACCTTTTTGCTTCTATTCTCACCGAATTGTGTTCGAAAATTAAATAAGTTAAATTGATCGATGGGACCACCCACCAAAAGAACTGATTTTTCATTTTCTCTTAAGATTGGCCTCTAGTTTATACTTGTATGTTGGATCTCAAGTTTTATCTTAATAAAATCTCTGGATTAATTCGAAAAATCAGCTAAGTCGAATCAAAGGTTCGCATACTATTTCGTAGCAAAATGCGTCAATAATCGCCGAAGGTACGCATATTCTTGATTGTAAACGCTAGATTTAATTATGTCTGCTCGTCTATTTCAATAGTATGATCTTAAAACATTGTCTAACAGAGCAAGCTTATTCTAGATTTTGTTTCGTATTGCTGTCATCTAAGTGCAGTTTAAAATTTTGTAAAATCGACGTCCATGCACAAGTCAATAATTAACAGGAAATCTTCCTAACTTTACTAAAATATGACGTTGCTTAGATGTCTAATGATTTAACTTTTTTTTCATTCACCAAAAAAAAAAAGAAATGGAATAACCAAGGAATTTAAAAGATCATTTTAATAAATTTCTTATAAAATTGGTAATCGCCAACCAATGACTTAGTGGAATAAGAAGAAGTCCATATTCGGCTAGACTGAGTTATCTAGTGTTTATCGGTAAGGTATATAATTATAAGGTCGAGTAAAGCACCATTCGAATTATATATATATCGTAGACGCTTTATACAGTAATGGGTTAAATATATTTTCCTGATCGGGCTTTGCAGACTTTTTACAAGACTTTGTGGGAATTGGTAAATCATGTGGTTTTGCTCATATACACGCATATAAACCAAATGAAAAATCCGAGCGAAAACAAATAAAAACAATTTATTTTATACTTTGAAGTTATTTACCTAGTTTGTGTTTATTTTGTACTAATTTAGATCTTTGTCATCTTATACAATTTATAATTTTAGTTCACATCCTATATCATTTCGTAAGAAATGAAAAGCAAGCAATAAAGGCGATTTATTTCGATCTTAAATATATTTGCCAAACCAAACATTTAAGCTGTTCCTTTACTTGGCTTTAATGCGTCAATTGGCTTTTAAACTAATTTTCTCATCGTTGTTCTTCATGTTTTTCTTGTTTACATTTATGTTGACCTTTTTAGTTTTACTACTCAAACATTGTGTTTCTATTTATACTTACATCGATTTTCATATTTATCAAAAATAATGTTGTGACGCAGTTTCTCATTGCGTGTACAATTGGGAAATATTAACCCCAAAAACAGAATAATGCATCACTGCGTAAGACTTATGTCATATTATACACTTGTATCATCCTTGACGCCTTGTCGTTGTTATTGTACCATTCCACCATAGTTGTGAGCCACGCAAACCCGTAACGCAATCGTTATGTCAAGTTACAAGAATTCTGTACAACTTTTGTCAGTCAATTTGTGGGTTATGAAAAATAAACAGACCTCTTGCAGGGCTCACATTTATATAAATTGACATTACCGATACATTTAATTCCGTTTATATTGTTCTCAATTTGAAGATTTTAGTTTATACTTATAATTCACGCTCAGTTTTATGCTTCCTGTAGTTATCACAACAAATTTGCAATAACCAAAATGTTTGTCATCGTTTACATCCTAACCGACTTTGTTTCTTCCGGGCTTCCTTACGGGGTAAACACGAGAGACGACTCATCAGTCAAAAGCATAGTAAGCTTCAAAGTAAACGGTTTCCGTTGAAAGTGATCAATTTTTTCACAATATTTTTGCCTTCGCGGCTCTCTCACTTGGCAGATGCGTATAGCTTAGAGATAACACTTTAAAATGAAGAAGTCACAATTTTATACTACATCATATAGTACTGCTTACAGTCTATCTTAGAAAATTGACTGACTGACTGATTTCTACTCCCAATGACTATAATATGGAAACATTTTTATTTTTATAGCTGAGTTAGCTGACTCGTTTAACTTCGTTCCAGACAAATTCAAATAAATGATTATAGAAATATTTACTATCTATTTATTTATCTATTTTTTATTTACTTACACATGAAACTCAATTAATATAAATTAACTGTCGGATTCAATTGACTCTTAGAAGTGAATCTTATACTAATTTATATTAGAAACTAGTATAAAGTACATAAGAAAGAAAAAAGAACGAGAAAAAGCATGTACACAACTAGCACAGAGACACACCCACAATCAATAGAGAATCAAATTGGAAGTGAACCCCTAAGAGATCGCAAATATACAAAAGCTTAGCAACCGATACAGTAAACAACACCAATTAGTTTTCGAATCATAAAGAGATGTTAAGATTAAAAGTAAGTTTAAATACGACATAGGCAAATTGTGCACTTTACCCAAAGTTGTTTTGATAGACTTTAAGGAACCCGATATTGAGATTAAGTGATAGACATCGGTTAGGTTTCTGCAAACTACTTTAAACGGGTTAAACAACTTTATAATTATATATACATTGACTCAGCTTAATGAAAATAAAGTGCCTAGAGAAGCGATTAGGGACATTGAAGCTTATCTCACAAGTAGTGTGGACGAATCGATACTACCATTAATTGACTTAATTAAGAAGGCAACACAAAGAGTAAATCCAGGTTTCTCAAGTGACGGTAAAGATAACAGAAGCAACCTATTTGAATATCGGAGCAAGTTTTGTATAAGCGTTGATTGGCAATAAATTCAACGTCAGGGGGAGTAGAAAATTCAACTGACGGGACGGAAGCATGTATGGCAATTAAAACACCACAGTCAGTGCGAGCCAATCGATCTTTTCTGAAAACCTGGAAGGAATTGTGAGAAAGTTTCGACGAATGTAAATCCGTCTTTAACCAAGTTTCAGTGACGCCGAAACAAGAAAACTCCGTGTTCAGTGAATTTAGGAATGTACAGCGAATTTTTGAGTTTAGGCCCGTAACATTTTGGGAAGCTTTGGGTTACTGGATGTGAAGGAAAATTTAGTTTTTTGAGGCTGGAGGAGTTACCGAATTAGTCTTGTCAAGTCAATCCCGAGTAATGAATTCCTTAATGAAGGATCCAACTGACCACAATGCTTTGTCTATTTTAAATGTTAAGTTGGAAAATTATAAAAAATTGATCACACCTGTATATCGTGCATTCTTTTTTAAATATATAGATCAACATATTTTGTATTATTATCGGTGAAATGGATAGTGAATATGAATATTGTCATGGATTAAAATTCAATAGAGAAGCGAAGGCATTGTATTGTGAAGGTAGCCAAATGGAAGTGTCTGAATTGCCTGGATTTCTTTTTTATAAATATGTTTTTTTTCTGTGCTACCATACACAAATTTTCATTATAAATTATAGACATTTCGAATGAATTCAAACATTCCAGGGCCAATATACGTGTATAAAATGCATGTTTTCAAATGACATCTTTTCGTGGTGACGTAATGTTACGTGATAATTATATGACGGGATTCATAATTGAAAGGTAAGTTTACCATTTACTTGCTTTTATGGTGGCCATCACTAGATATCGATTTTCAATTCTCACAAATTTGTTTTTTGGCTGATTAAAATAAGCAATGAATGAATAAGAATCACTAATGGATTAAAACGAGCGATCTATTAAGAAATTGTGAATATTTTTGAACCAAAAAAAATTTAAAGAAATACAAAAATCTTATATAAATTTAAATTGAGAAAATAAAGCGATTAAATCTGTGTAAATAAGTTCTATCAAACGCAAAAGAAAACCGCAAGAATTTTACTTTGCTGCAGTGATGATCAACAGTAGAACAGAAACGTAGAAAAAACCAAGGTAAACAAAGAAATTTCTTGTGAAACAAAACCTGGAGTCACTGAGCTACCCGAGCACCAGGTTTTGGGCAAAAACAGCCCTCACAGTATATCATTAATCTAAATGCCTACAGCTAATGAAGTATGCAAGGGTTGTAAAAATAGTCTGGTTTGCTTGATTGGCCAGTGCTTCGATAAAAGCAAAAGTTGGTAAGGTTTTAATTAATTTTGCCGAAACTATCCTACAGATTTCTGGTAAAATGTTAAAGGCGATAAAGGTATGTTCTTTTTTTTATATTAAAGCTTTTACTATTCTTACCTCTAGATAATTTAAGGGCCATGAAATCAGGACCATGAAACCATTAATGTTCAATTATTCCTCTTCATTTCCTTTCTTCGAAAGTATCAGCCTTTCGCCTTTTGTGTTGGGGAATGTCAAAGAAAACGGCAAAGTGTATAATATTATAGCCGAATTCATAATTAATATCAGAATTTTCATCACGTAATTCTAATTTTTTAGCGCTTCGTCAATCACTTTTAATTTCTTTGGAATCGCATATCGTTGAAATTGTGCTTTCGATCAAGCCATGGTCGCTACAAGTTTGAAAAGGCTTTGAAATGAACGTAAAGGCTCTCTAAAAACAACTCCTAGCGGAAATAGATAAGTTAGATACCAACAAGAAAGACACCATAATGTAGCCTCAGAGCTTTATCTTTTCACAAATCTACTCTTTTTCGGAACGCTTGAGGAAAAGCTGGAAATTATTCCAAGGTAAAAATTGTTCTAGGTAATGAAGATTTTGTCAGAAACTTTAGAAGAATCTATCAAGGTAATCAAAACCTAGAAATCTACAAGTCATATATAATTCAAAGTATGATAAGAAAAATATATCATGAGTATTAAATTGGTGTTAATGAGGAACTGTTCAGTTGTAACTTACTATACACATAACTGTTACTATAGTTGAACAGTAGACAAATGCGGAATAAAAAATTTAATTTTATGGTCGTTTCACCGCGCAAGGATTCGAACTTGGGTCTTCTGAGTATATACCGGGCATCCTAACCACGGCCAGCTGCGCAAAAAGAAATTAAAATCTAAAAAAAATAATAGCGCTAATACGTAAGATATCAATAAAAGTTTTAACAATTTCGTTTTCAAATATAAATAACGGAATATGAGTGTTTTGTATAATTTAAAAATAATGGTCAATTCAACTAGGTTTCGAACCTACCTTCTCGAAAATATATGAAATATTATTACTGTCATTTTTCACACGCTTTATACTATGGCTAAATGGCGTTTAAACTCACGTTTAAAATACTTTATTAATGTATATAAAAATATATATAAAAGAAATTATTATTCTTTTTAATGGTTTTTTGATTGTTTCCGATTCTTTTTCCTTGACGTGTTCGCTTTTGCTCTTCTATCATATCCTCTACATTTACCATTTAAGTTGTCAAGTTAAGTTGTTAAGTAGGGCTCTTAACCATTTAACAGAGCTGTCATTTTTAGAGTATTTTTTACAAGAAACTCTGCACTTTGCCTTTTAACAGGGAATTTAGCGGGGGCTCTGTTTAAAAATTATGGCGGTCTAATTTTAGGCTAACTTGTAAAATTGAAGAAATTAAGAAATTTTATATGGAAACATAGATTTATTAAAATAAATATTGTAAAATTGAAGAAATTAAGAAATTTTATATAATAGATAGAAATAGATTTATTAATAAAAAATAAAGAAACATTAGATACTAAATATCCTAAAGTTTTCACTTTCACTACTTATCTTTCACTACTTTTGTTTTCCTTTGTTTTGCCGATGGCTTTGCATTTTAACAGAGTTGGACCTTTGTTTTCTGTTAAGTTAGCCTAAAAGTAGACCGCCATGATTTTTTTTGTTATCAAATTAAACAAAGCAGCAGCTAAATTCTCTGTTAAAAAGGCAAAGCAGTAGTGGAATAATCTGTTAAATTGCAAATCCGCCGGCATTTATATCTGTTAAATTAAAACAATGTAAAAACCAAAAAAAAAATTAAAAAGCTCTGTTAACATGACAAATCAATGCAAAAAAAACTGTATCAAACCGATACAAACAAAAAAATTGATAATTTGACAAAACAAACAGTAGCAACAGTAAAGTAATAAATAAAACGTATATATATAAAAATAAAGCGTAAATATATTGTTGCTTTTCTTCCTTTTTTTAACTTTATTGAATATGAATATTTTTAGGTATTATTGGTTTATTGAATATGTTGTTTTCTTAGCAAATCCAATAAATCATTTAATATAGTTCCATCACTTCCTGGTCAATTCAAAGAATTGTGGTTGTTCTCCAAAATATTAAACGGTAATTTGCATTTTTCATTTTACAATGCTGACGGCAATTGGCATTTTGCAATGAATTTTAACAGATTTGCTGAGTTATAAAGCTCTTTTAACAGATTTCCTGAATCATAAAGCTGGCGGCTTTGCAAATTAAACGATCTGGCAATTTAAGTTGTTAGTTGGGCACTCAACCTTTTCAGAGCATTTTTGGCAATTTTTTTATTTATTATAAGCGACTCTGTGCTTTGCCTTTCAAGAGGGAATTTAGCGAGGGCTTTGTTTAATTTGATAATAAAAAAAAAATTATGGCGGTCTACTTTTAGAATAACTTGTAAAATTATTATTATTATTATAAATTTAGCCAGAGAATAAATTCTAAGGTAGCGTCAAAAAGAATTTTGTCCAACTTAGCAGAAAAAACACATTCCACTCTGTTAAAATGCAAAGCCGTTGGCAAAAACACATTCATTCACCTCTGTTATTACCTTTACAGCAACGAAATTTTGAAAAGTAAGTAATAGCACCTCCATGGTAAATTTAAACAAAAATTAAAATTTGCAATAACAAACACACACGGTGCTACCGTTACAACAACAACCGCATACGGACCTATCTTTAAAGCAGCAAAACACACACAGTACTACTTTTACAGCAACAAAATGCATATGTTCCTCCCTTTGAAATGTAAACTCAGCGACAGCGAGACCGGCCTTCCTAAGGAAAAACGTAGGAAAAAACAGATGTTTTTGTTTTCTGTTGTGTATTAATTTATGTTTAAATATAAATGTAATAAATAGCTTTATTTATATAATAGCTTTATTTATACATTTAATGGTTTTGATGGTTTCCTGATTGTTTCCGATTCTTCTTCCTTGACTTGGTCGCTTTTGCTCTTCTATCATCTCCTCCAGATGTATATATAGTGTTTTGGAAAATACGCGAACTAAACTTATTTAATTTTACAAGTTATCCGCCTGAGTGTCTCAAGTGCGCTTTAAAGGAAAAGAATTTATTCTCTGATTAAATTTATTGCATGCGAGTAAGTGAGGAAATAAGAAGCGGCATATTTTCTACACTTTCAAATTGAATTGTATTGAAATAAAAGAAAGTTGACTTTTGTGTATACAAAATATATTACGGTTCATGTTCAATAAAAATGAAAATAGAGTTAACTTAATTCGAAGTTTCACTTTCGAATTCGCGTGGCATCAGCTAATTGTCAATTTGCTTTAACAATTACGGCATTTGCTCTTGATGTTGCAACTTTCTTTTTATTTTTGTGACCACTCCCAACACGCTGTTTGCAAATCCAAAATGTCAAAGCTCCGAGCCTTTTTAAAGCTTTTGATCCTTTGATCACGGGGTGGCAAAGAATAACAAATTGTTTACTATATTGCACGAGCATTTGGCCACGAGAAAGCTCTGTTCAGTCAATATAAGCAGAAATATAATATAATATTTTCACTGCAGAATGGATGTATGGTTTTGATTTTTGCTGACGACACTGCCAATCTACAAGCAGCACTTGTTTAAATTAATGCGTTTTCAAAACGTGAATGATTCTATTTATCTATATATTTCTATATATTTATGGGGCAGAAAAATACCACGACTTTTTTTTTTATAAGCGTAAACCTTGTTTCACTACCCTATGCTGAGGATTGATAATAGTGACATTGCTTGAAAAAGGGAAGTCAAGTAACTAGACATTTTATTGGTTCCAAGCTTAGCTCTAACTCCCACGTGAACTACATTATTCATAAAGTTAAGAGCATGGGATGATGTAGTAGGTATGTAGTATGTGTCGTGGGACAGAAACAGAAATCCTCTTATGAGTAGAAGTTAGATAGCGGCGTAAGAGTTTTTTTTTTTGTATCCGTTATTGCTTATCTTATAATTTTTTTCTTAAGTTTTGAAAAAAGATATTATAATAAATAGGCATTTTGAATGGAGAGCTTATCTTCACATAGCCCTCTTCAGCCGTAGTAAGGACAATAAAAAAGAACTTTATAAAAAAGTTTACTGTAGAATCCAAATTGTACGTATATTTAATTAAAACGAGTGCTTAAAAAATTTCTTTTCTATATTTATTTAACTTAAACGGTCTTAATTTGATGTTTATTATGTATATAGAATTATACAAGCACTTAAATTTTAATAAACATTAATACATGTAGATATTTTATATTATATCTCTGTTTCAATAGGCATATGATTATTATTTATTTTCTTCATTGAAAGTTTCTCGTACATTATCGCTTTTTTGTGTTTTTATATTATGTTTTACTTTTTATTTTTTACTTTATTATGGATTGCTATATATTTTTGTCAAAAATTATAAAAATCTTACAATAAATTTCGGTCATTTTATTTGCGAAGAGTAATCAATAACCAATATGTATTTATACTTTTTAGTTTTAATTTTTTCTTTCAGAGATAAAATTTTTATAAATTGAACACGTTTAAAGTATGTTTTACTTTATTTTATTGGTTTATTAATCATAAAAAAAATTTTTTAATTTTATAAATTAATTAAAGACAAGAAAAACAAAAGCATATATTCAGTCATGAAAGTATGTTATGAACATAAGAATTTTGCGACAATTTTTTATCTTTTATTTTTTAAGAGTGTATAGATGAGGACGTAGACTGGTTTCATAAATTCAATTAACATAAAATCATTTTTAAATATTTCATTACGAGTGGAAGGGTTAATTGTTAAATTAAAGTGGTTCAATCCTGCTATCAATAGAGAGCTACATAAATAATTCAGGAAATTTTTCAATTTACGGTCTGCGTAGACGACCCCATTTCGAAGGTTTTTTAAATTTTTTGAAGTGTTTATAACGCATATATATATAGGCAACGAAGATGTCTTAATGTACTTAAGTTCTTGATCATCATGAACAACGGAATTGATTGCCATTTGTCTGTTTTTCTTATTTTTTTTCTTTGGTTAGCAAACCTGACAAAAAGCCAAGTTAGATGTGTGCTTTATGGTTGGCTATCGAAATGATATGGGGATTGCATGCAAAGTACATTAAAGATTGCGAGCGCGCAAAGCATTTAATAATTAATGTCATTCCTTTGCTAACACAAGAGATAGGCTTTGCCACAACGAATTAAAATTTTTCTTATAATTTTAAATCAACCCTCCTATCTGAGCGCTGCCCATCGGTAATCCCTCTATTGATGTGTAAGTAATAGATGTCTAATGCAAACATTTCTATTGCCATGTGTGTTACTTCAATTTTTTTCTCCTATAACGAGTATACGAAATTTATTTTAAACGAAATTTCGTTTGCGCCTCCATTACCATTATTGGATATTTGATTCAACAATTAATAGTATGGATATATTTATGAATGTATAATTATGCAATTCGTAGATGCTTTTATATAAAAACTAAGCTAGATGCTTGATTACAACTAATACTAACATGTTCACGATTGAAAAATAAAATTGCTATGCTGATTTCTTTTTGCTTATTTTTAAATTCGTTTACAAAACAAGATTTTGCAAAAATTATTCACATTTGTATTAAACTTGTACTGAAATTGCAATGTCTTTAAAATATTAACTGAATTAATATGCTAATTCAGAAAATTATAAATATAAGAAGAAATTTGTCTCCAATTACGTATTTTTAAAAAAATTTGCCGCCTCAAATTCCTGAAAAATTTACAAAGCACCTACTGAAACGAATACTTGAACTAAATAAAAATGAACATGATTTAGTTGAAAAGAAGCGCTTTTGCTCTGCCATCATCAGCAATACCAAAACAAAATAATATTGTTTGAAAATAATTACTTAAACCGAAATAAGATAACTCACAACGTTAACTTATTTCGTCAATACTTTCATAGAATTTGGGTTAACTGTTTTTGGTATAATATGTATCATAAATTGCCTTATCCGTTATGTAGAACATAAAACAATACCCATGGGCCATATATATTTTTTTGAATTATTTAAAAATAAAATAATCTTGAAAAGCAAAACATTACATAAGAACATTACATTCGACCGAAACCGAAGTGGAATTATATCCTCTACCTTTATCATAAAAAAGACCCAAACAAGCGACGGAGGAAGTAAACTTTCATATTCTATAATATTGGCGGAGCGTGATTAACTGTTTCCATTTTTGTACAATATACGTGTTATCGTGTCTCTATTGGAGTTTATAAGTAAGTGGCCATAAACCCAGAACGCAGATATGTTTTCAGGTGTGTATGCACTGTAGGTGTGTACTTTGACCGATTTAACCCGTTTTCTAGCCGTTGGAAAATTGAAAGGTAATATCTTCATCAATGTTTTCAATAGACATATTGCAGACAGTTGACTCACATTACATGGCTCGTCGAGAAATTATTAAAGGTATAAAATAAACATTTACGGCATTTACGGTTCTGAAATTGCGTGCAAAGCTTTCCAATGCACCTCTCCCACAAACTTTTAAGTCAATTGAGTCCTTCTTGTCAAAGATATGGGATTTTTTTCTGAGTGTGAGTTTCGTAATGATGGGAAGATTCGTTACAAAACTAAAAAGGTTAATTTAGACATCTTGGCCGATTGTAGATTTATTTTTAGTGTTAATCGTTAATTTAAAGTAAACTAAAAAAAATTTTGAGATATGCAATGTGAAAATGAAATAATCAAAAAAAAGTTAGTTCATGATTCAAATGAGCCTCAAAAGCTTGTCGTGGTGCGATTGGGGTTAAATAAGATTTTGATAATTTCTGGTGCTCTTTATGAGAGATGCTGCTTTTATTGATGCTTTCTTTGATAGATGCTCTTCTGACTGGTGCTTTCTTTCATACATAAAAGATTAACATTTTCAATATTTTTGCGTAGTTTTAGTTATAAGACTACTACGAAAAATTGCAATATTTTTATGATAGTAACACGCCGAAATACACAGTTTTTTTCCGAAACTACTTTAGCTATTTATATAAGGATTGCGATCGTGCTTCCGAGCTGATTACTTACATTTTCAAAATTGACCTGTAAAAAATGAAACTAAAATATGATCCATAGACTTTATTTCAGTCACCTGATGATTTTGAAAAACTTAAAAACCGAACGGAAAGACGGACGGGCATACGTTAGCCTGAATAGTGCTACATCGTCTCCAAGTTGTTAATCAAACCTGGAATCCTTGACGACTATTTCTGGGTTTTACAAATGGCATTTTAAAATAAGTTTATTCAATTGTCCATATAAAAATGAAATTTTATCACTGATATAACTGTATAAAAATTAAAACAGCAATGAATCATTTTGTTCTTTGTTTAGATGCTATCGATGATAATGATTTATTAGTGAGTGCTTGGTTAACGATTGGCATGGCCCTATGTGAATCTGCTGCTGAAATAATTATGAATAAGGCCTGTCAAATTGTATATAAATATGTTTATGATAAAGAATATAAGAGTGAGGCGTGGGACACAGAGTATATATATTTATATACTTGTTACATTATGTTAAATACATTTTATATGTGTGTGCGCGTGTATTTTAAATTAATATGTATAAATATCTTTGATTTTGGTTGGATTTAAATTCCAAGACTGCAATTAAAAAAAAGAAAAAAGTAATAAAAAAGGAAATAATTGGTGAAACATAAAAATTAGATATGATATAGATTTACATTATATATACATTTTAGTAAATTAACGCAAGTATATGTAGTGAATAAAAATAGTAAGGAAACATGCATGTAAATAGAAAAATCCAGAAGCAGAAAAACAAAGCGGCTTTTTCTTATTAATGAAAACAGACTTGCTATTATATATTTTAAATTTTTATATAAAGCTTACATGCGTGAACCTTTTTGTTGTAGCACCTTTGCTCTATCATTTAATTCGAGTTCACGTCCGGTTGAAGTGCCACATTCTTTAGAAACGACGCAAAGGAATTCACTGTTATCGAATGAATAGTTTGAGTGATATTGCGTGCCTACACTAATTAATTGTTCGAATCTCCAACCATCTGACAGAGTTGAGATCATCTAAAAAACAACCACAAAGCAGAAGTTAATACAATAATCCTTAAAGGTATTTATTTATAAACTATATTTAACGTACCTGGGTTAATTCTTGTTCACGGCACTGTAATACTCGATAAACTCGTTTCTTATCTGTCTGAGGTCTCTATAAGAGGAATCGGTATTATTTTTGTAACAACCACTTTAGATAGAGTGTGGCGGATAATAAAGCAGGTTCTTTTTACAAACATACGAAGTAGTCTACAATGTACTTAAGCTTCTGCATAAAAAAGATAATGGGACGTTAATGTCACAATATGATTTAATGGAGCTGGTTTCAAGCCACGATAGGGATATTCATAAAGAGATAATCCACTTTTTTTTAGCTTTTAATAACTCGATTCTTTCGGTTATCGTATGACGATAATATCGAAGGCTTTCAATTCATTTCAGAAATATGCAATCAGTTCATAATAGAAAGATCGGTTTCCTTTAAATTTAAATTTAATTTTGAAAATTTTTATTCACCTGTTTACCTGCCGAATGATTGCAGCAACAGTAAATTGTCGCACAATTATGAAAGACTTGTGTTAACATAGCAGGAATTTTGATAATAAGTACAGATTATTTGCAAACGCTATTGAAGCGTGTACTGGGCCACAAAAAAATAGTGGAGTTTATCATATCGACATCAACTGAAATAAATTCGATAAGTTATACTGAAGGCTATGATGAGGTCTTGTAGACGACGTCGCGTCTATGTAGACCGAATTTGCGAATGCGATTATTATTTTTGAACAATAATAAAAGCACTTTCTGCATTTTCTTTCAAAAGCACCATGATTCCGGCTTTTTGTGATATACAATAGTTTCTGCTAGGGGGCGTCATAAATACGTCATATATATATATAACTGTACGAAATTATGACCAATGTTTATTTCTTGCACAATTGTTCTGAATGAAATCGCAAAATTTGATTTCATGTTATAATCATTGTCTACATTTGGTAGAATTAGAAAAATGTGATGTAATATTAATATGACTACAATTTTCGGACAATATGAGAGACCGCTTTAAATATTGTTCGATTACAAAATCAGCATCATTCACGGCCACACTTTTGCATATTAGCGGAGGTTTGCTTACTTGATCTCTTAGGTTAATGCACTCTTTAAGCAGTGTTATTAATTGTGTAACGTTGTAGAATTCAGCTTCTTCCAGGACACCTTCTTCAGATACACCATCCAGCACCAATTTTCCATGCCGTAAATAGTTTAAAACAGGTGCAAAATATTTGGGATCACGGTCTATTAAGTAGGCACCAGTTTCATCCTATTTGTATACAAATAGATTTAAAAAATAAAGATTTCTATTAAATGTTTTTTAGAACTGCACTGTTAAATCTCTATAATATTGGGTGAATGGACGAACGTTCTATTTTCTGTTTATTTTGAAGTTAACCACGCCGTAATAAGCAATTCTAGCAAAAAATTTATTTGCATAGTAAATAAAAAAGTACTCTATTCCATTAAGTCAAACAATTTAAAATGGACCCGTAGGTCCATTGATGGCTATGGCATTGATAAAGTTTCATATGCTTTTATTTTGTTAATTTGCTAACCAATATTTCATATACGTGACCACGTTGAAATTTAGCACAATAATATAATGCAGTCAATATTACTGCATATTTAAAATAGCAGGTACCACGGTGTGCCAGGTTATAGGTTGTCTTTTTCTTAATATGGATATCAAATAAAATGGTTTGAGGACTAAAATAAAACTTTTAAAGAACAAATAAGTGGTAATCGTGTTGGCAACAAACTCAGGTGCTTTAAAACGTTGAAGCAGCTTAATATTGTCGTTGTCGTAATAGAGCAAAAAAAAAAATCAATCGTAAGGAAAGCATTAAATATTTCGCGACTTTATTATCTGGAATTACAAATCGGCTTTTGAAAAATTATGGTTATTGCAAGGATAATGACTCCGTATGTAACCTTGATGTCGATATTTTGCTTATGTCACTCACACCGATGGGTTTGTTAATACTAACCCCTTCACATCTGTAACTCTTCACGAGCCTTTTTCATTTAGATGTGTATCTGATGAGGAACTGCTTTTATGTTGGAAATAATTGAATCCCTTTTTTGTTAAACTTATTTTTCGTTACATTTGCTGTCTACTAATATTTCATATTAATTCTGTTTTGACTCAATTTGAATTCTCCATTGCTTGGAACATAGCCCATGCTGTTCCTATTGCAAAAGCTGACACGGTCAACACCTTAGATGATTTGAGGGCAATTTCCATTCTGCCTGCCTTGTCGAAGGTTATTGAACACGTTCTTAAAGATCAAATTCTCTCGTATCTTCATAGTGCGATTTCACCCTGTCAGCACCCTTACTGTTTAGGCCATATTTATTTAGGCATGTCATTTTTCTTTTATTCAGTACTAGTCGGAGTAATCTGGATCTCCTTGAGTGTAAAATGCATTATAGCTTTAGGCTTTTTTTTTGGAATGGTCACTTGTGAACTCCTTACTTATTAATTCCCCGATATTTATTTTTTTATTGCCATAATTAGAATAACTATTGTTGACGATCTCAAGTGTTTGCGCATACATATCGACCATCGTCTCACCTTTGAGAAGCATATATATTAAATAAATGGTAAAGTAGAGAGAACTTTGCGCGGAATTTATTTCAACAATATTTACCTACCTCAATCGATTAAATATAAATTGGCCAATACTCTCTCAATACCGCATATTCTATATGGCTTAGAAGTGGTGTCCGGTACGGTTACTGTTAATTTCACTACACGAAATCGTGCTACCAATAACACTGTGTTGCTATGTGTACAGTGTCCGAAGACGGGCCCATACCTTCGAACATGTAAAACGGTTCGTCGCATGCACCTGCAAGCAGTTCGTCTCAAGTGGCAATTTACTCCTCTTTTTTAGAGTTATAAAATACGGTCAGCCACTTCAACTATATTGTAAGTTTTCTTTTACTTATTCCACTAGGAACCTGCAGATCATCATTACTAGAATTAGAAGCAGTTGATGGAAGCCAAGCATCGTAGCTCGAGTTACGCGGTGTTGGAACTAATTGCCACACAATTTACGCATACTGTTACCCGATAATACATTTCGCTCAAAAGTGTTTTTTTACTATGCTACTAACGATACGCCCTTTTTTGTAATCATGAACTCTTCGGAGTGATTTTGCTGTCACTATCTTCGTTGGTTTTACATCAAGTTGGTGCTGCTGAAATATTGGCTTATTGTTCTGTAGCTGCTTTTAATGTTACTTTTTTAAAACTACTGTTTCTAATCTACTACTACCCAGGGACATTTCCGTATATTTTGTTCTTTCTATTTTTTCCCGATCCTTCTATGTGGCTGTGGAGCCACATTTCGTACTTGTAACTTCTACGTATAAGTTAATTTAATAATAAGTTCATTTGTGAATTGTAATGCGATAACATTTCCTTTCTTCTCTTATTTTCTCTCTTTTTAATTTCTGTTATTATAATATTTCGATAGTATACTATTGCATAATCTACATTATGTCTTGTATTATTTTGCTATACTCAGGGACTTGCTGGTAATACACATCTATTGGCCTAATTAATTGAAATAAAATAAAAATAAAAGAATATTAAAAAGAGAAAAGAAAAAATTAGTAGCCATAGCAGCTATGAAAGCTGGCGCAAATTTATAACAACTAGGCTAGCAGCAAGCGCAAATGAAACCATCAGGTCGAAAAAATCGATTCCTGCTGATGCACAACGCATCAAGGATTTATGCAAGGTAGCGTAAAGATTTTTATTGATAACGTTTTACGCTACCTCTCTGAATGAATAGAAATAAAATATGTGCCCTTATAATCAGCCAGCTCATTAAAGATTTTGCCGACCTTATCGATTGGTATTACCTTAATGCCCCTTCAATTATTTGGAATTGTGCCGTTTTCCCAACAATGATTTATGCCATCCAACAACGCAGACGCACTTGGATCGGAAAGCATTTTGGAAGATTAACTAGTTAGGGTTGGGGGAAATGAGATTTCTGTTTAGCTATAAGACTAAACCTCTTTTTGGTGAGAATTTTGTTGACTTATTTAATAAAGCTTCTCGAGTTGATTGGAACGGCGAAGTTAATTAAGAACGGGAAATTCTTATAATAATCTACATATTTTTTACTAGTCTATCTAAAGTTTTCAATATAGCATTATGAAAGCATTCAAAACAATTGGTCGTATATTTTCCTTCATATTTACGAAAGAAGATGTTTTCAATCGCCATTATCTTATTGATCTGTTCTCTTGTTTTCTTCTTGGCTAGTCTTTACAACGAACATTATTGTCAAACGAACCACAGGCAACGCATTTTCTTTTAGAACAATTGTTCAGAGAGTGTGCTTTAGATTTTTCACAGGTGAGGCAACGGGATTCTTTGATTTTGCAGAGTTTGCCAATATGGTTAAATCTGAAACATTTGTAACATTGACCAAGAAAAAAAATAGTCAATCGGTAGAGTGGAGATATTAAACTTTATAAATTTGGGATGGCCGATAAATTTAGCTTAAGGCCGATTTCGATGTTTGTTGGAATAATTTGTTGCTGTCGGAGCAATCACAAAAGTATAACCTAATAACCGATGTAAGAATGTTTTATTTTTTCCCTTTCCTTGTAACAGGCCCGGAAACTTTTGCGAAATACTCCGGATATATCTTTGAAATTACGAGGCATATATGCCTTTAGGTATTTGTATTTGAAGTCATTACCTTTACGAAAATTGCTGGTATTTTGTGCATATTGATAGGTAATTTAGTCCTTCTATTGCTAATTATCGTAAGATTTATGCATGTGAAGGTTAAAATTGTTCATGGAGGAAAAGATATAGAAAGGCATTGCAATAGCGCGGATGATTGTTTGACTAATATTCGAAATTATCATCCTTGTCTATTTCAGTATGCTTTAAATATCTAAAACAAATGTCACATTGCATTTTTTGGCGCAAGGCACACTCAACGAGTAGATTAATTAATCTTATGAAATTAATTGTCTCACACTACCAGTATGATTTATGAATGGCATATCTGCTGTGACTAATTTTTTGAAAGTAGCATGTCATGTTGATTCATTTAAAATAGGCAAACATTAGTAAGGTGTTTTATACAGTAAGTCATGTTCTATGTTCAAGTTCTTATGTTCAAAAAATTGGTTTCAGCGCTTCTTCGAAAAATGGTTCCGTTCTTATCTTATTGATCGTATGAGTTTTACATATACGGAATATCTCTGACCAAACATTAGTGAAGTTCAGGTTATTACAGAAGAGACATTCAGATCCTCTTTTCTTTTGTGGGCTTATAAATTATCTCCCTAATATAATTTAGCAATCGGCTTTACTAATGCATGTGGACGACATTAAGGTTTTTATTTGGCACACAATTTCGAAAGTTTTCGTTCCCTTGAATACGATTTACTTTTACTGGCTGAACGGTGTAAGACACTCGAAATGGCATTAAATATACAAAAAATATAGATCTCTGGCTTTCAGTAGAGTATTCTTTATCACTTGTAACAGACATTAAGTAAAATAAATTTTATTTATTCTGACCTGAGCTGTTATCTACAGAAAGTTTAGGTCAACCTTACGGCACCACCTGAAGAGGTGTGGAGGCCTATGAGGTAGGCGTAGCTAGCTAGTTCGTGAGATGTGGAAAGAGTTCTATAAGTTGCTCACGGACACTTCCAGGATGATTACACCAAAGAATTTGCACGTATTTGCCGCTTACTGAATACCAGACAGACGAAACTTTAACTAACCGATCGGGGACTGGCCTGTGGGCCAATCTTTCACCCACCCTAGTGCCTGTTGGTCTGCCTTCGGCCCATAGAAAAGCTTGTATAGGACCTCAAAATTGGATCTGAGTACTCCTCTAAGCATACCTTCCTGTCAGAACCAAACACACATTTTTTATTTAATTTTTTTTCTTTTAAATTTTATGCAATATTTAATTTAATAATATGTATGAGACCCCTTTTTAATTCAGTAGAATAATAATAATGATAATAAAACGCTATAAAAAGGGAGATTGAATTTTTAACATCTATAAAGGATATATGTGTACGTACGTATGTATATATGTATGCATAAACAAGCTTTTATGCATAATAAGAGTACGTTGCTTTATATATATAAATCGTTTGTCTACTCAATTTAGTAATTATTAATAAATTTTTTTTATTAAATGTTTTTAATTAAAAATGCTAAGACCTTAAACAGACATACAGAATATATAATATTTGCATAAGCGTCCACCT